TCGAAAATATTCTTCATTGGAATAGATTATAACCTTATTGGATTTGCTAAAAACTACTTTGAATCCTAAACCTTTGTATCCTGTTTTATTAAGATCTTTCTTTTTTGTTCAATGATTAACACCACATATACAATGTAAATTTTTTTCGTCAAATACTTTTTCTACAAAAAAAAAAAGATTTAAAGATATTACAAAAATTATTCTTTCAATTTGAATGCAGCTCAATGAACGTCAAAAACGCATTAAGAACATAAACTTTGTAGGAAATATCTTAATTTGAACGATATTTCAGTATACAAACTGCTGGATTAAAAATGAGATTTTCATACTTTGGAAAAAGCAGCAATGAATATATTTTCCTTTCTGTCACATGAATTGATGATTTTATTCATGATAGACTTTTAAATTATTTTCCTTTTTTTGTCTACATAGAATTGTAATATTGACATTTTTTGTCATTAGAACGCGTTGTTTGGAAGTAGGCATTCAGCAAACCCGAACGTTCTGGTTCGTTACATGCGTATTCGATAGCTATAAAAGTTCTTTATCAAACTCACATTGTAAAAATATTTGGCTATTATTATGAAGTTTTCATTCGCTGTTTACATCAGCCCAATAAAAAAAACGACGAGTTGTTTATCCTCTACCCTAATCTAAATTTTCTGTTATCTATCCCTGCGTTAAACCTCGCTTTATACTATATCGATCTCTATACTTTGTGTTTTACGGATGCCAGACTATGACGTTTATTAACGGAAAGTTGTATCCTCCTTCTTTTTTCATATATTTGGATAGTCCAAGATACGATAATCCTATATGATACCTCACTTGCGTGAATATGTGACTTACATGAAATATTTATATTTTCCAGTGTCATTACTCGGGCATCCTGTTTTAAAACGTTTGTTTTTATACAGAAGTAAAAAATTAACAACGTTTATTATCATCATGAGCAATAATGAAATATTTGTCTTCCAAAACTGTTAGAGTGATATTTTTTACTTGAGCATCATCAGCATTTTATATTAATTCATAAATAAATCGTACGTTATCTGTATATACATCACTTGATAAGGACTTTAATGATTCAGCTTGATTTATTGCTTGTTCAGGAAATTTATAATCAGTATTCTTTGTAGAAAGTTCTTCAATACATAGTCTTAAACTTGGTTCCTTCGTTGCCATTTCTAAAATATCGCAGAACTCAAAAGAATTAAAATCGATACTTTTAGACAAATATTTTTCTACCAACCTCTTTTCGTCTTTGTTTTGGTTTGATTGTAATAGTTTCTCTCAATGTTATATAAAAAATCAATTTTGTTAGACTCAGAGTACCACATTGTTCTGTCAAGCAACACTTTGTTTCAATAAGTAATAATGCAAATATTTTTCTTTAAGAAGATGCAAGAACAGAACGGAGAGAAAAAAACACAGGTGAATTTGATGTGTGACGATATGTCGTAAACCTTTGCAGACGTTCTTGTTTACTCCAAATACGACACTACTATATTGACGCACTTTTATGTAGTCGACA